TCTTTTAATGAATAGTTATTTGTTGGACATGGACCCAAAGGACATTTTATTATGAAGGGCCCCATCCTGAAGACCTTAATAAATCATTCAAAACAGATTTGCTGGTTGGACAGGGTCTCTCACTGAGTCATTGCCAGTGAAGGAGACTTCTTTCCTGTGGTCAACCCAGCAGGCACCTTTTATTCTGCATGGTTAGCCATCTGTCCTGACATCCAAATAAGGAAAACTTCCCTGCTTCACATCAGGAGGAGAAGTGAGGGTTCTTGACTTCAGAGTCCAAAGTGCTGACCACCTTGGTCTAGGTTTTTCAAGATTCTTTCCACCCTTGCATGTGCCATAAACCTTGGAAAGCTGGTGACAATGACAATTCACAGTTCACCCAGGCCACTGAGTAAAAATATTTGGTCCCTGGAATCTACATTTTTAACAACATCAGAGAAGGTTTTTCTGAACATTAAGCTGGGAAACAACAGCCCTGAAACCATATAACTTCAGCATCCCTTATTTATTTCTGTTGTTCTTTTTCAAGTGTGTAGATGGATGTGTCTCTCTTCTCTTCTGCGTCCCGGCCTCTGCTGTCCTTCTAGTGTCACATACCTCCATGCTGTTTTGGGGGGGGGGAGTGGTGTGTCAGGGAGTGGGTCCATATCCAAGTCAGCTGGGGATTTTCCTCAAAGCTTTCCAAAAGCATGACTCGCACATCTGGATTATAGCCGCCCTGGGATAAGGGCCCCTTGGTGCAATCAAGTTCAGCATCAAGGGTGGAGTCTGGGGCTTCCCACAGCTGCTAAGAAGAGTGGGGAGACATGCAGATGAAACAAGCGGGGCCTTGAAGAGACGAGACTTTGCAGCTTCCCTAGAGACATGGGCAGAGCACTGGGCTTTTCTGTCCGGAGGCAGGAATGAGGGAGCTGGCAGGAGAGGATGCCTGGCTGGCTCAGGCTTGGGGCCTGAGAGCTCTCCACTGGGGCTGCCTGCAGCTTATATTTTTGCTGCAGTCTGTCCTTCTTCTCCATTGTCACTCATGCCAGTCCCCAATGCCCCCAACCTTGCAGATACCTCCTTCCATCCCATGCTCTCTCCTGCTGGGTGTTCAATTTCCCTTCATCTGAGATGAAGGCTGCTGTGATAGTAAGAGATGGCTCTGGTGGCCCCTCAGCTTAAGAGACTTAAAGCCACCTCTCCCAGTCCCTTTTAAGTCCCCTCTCCCCACCACCACCTCATTTTACTCCTTGTTTGCTCTGCCTACCTCTTTCTTTTGCCCTTCCTGCTTTGATAGATTGAAACCAACATTGTGTTCCGGCTTCTTGTGGTCCCGGTAAATAGCTCTTAATGTGGCCTTGGTGGATGAGGAGAAGGGAGTGACTAATGCCTACCGGGCTGGGCACACGTGCCTTTGTCCCTGATGAGAGGAGGAGGGGACCATGCTCCACAGATCATGCTCCTATGCTTGAGTTTCAGCAGAGCCTCCATGGGGAGTGGGATGGGCCTGGGGTGGGCCTGGGTTAGGCCTGGGTGTCCTCAGAGTCTCCCTTTACTGAAGAGGCAGACAGCTTAGCAGGGCGCAGAATAGCCTGGAGTTAGTAGTGTTTGGGGGCAACACTGGGCGATCAGGGGCAACTGGCTCTTTCTCTGAGGCAGGAAAAGACATTTCCACTTGCAGTTAGCAAACAGGATTTAATTAAACAATTTACACCTCTTCGATTTTCTAACTGAGCCTGAGTGGCTTGGGTGTTATTGTTCCTGGTGTTGCTGCAAACAGTGCCCATGCGGGGATACATTACATGGCAGAATAAGTTTAGTATTGACATTTTCAAAATCGATGCAGAGTAGGGCCTGGCCACAGGGGCAATGAAGGGCCAAGGTATCAGGTGGTGAGTTCTCCCTCTCGCTTTTGCTGAAAGCTCTTCTGTTGCTACTACTGCAGAGGCCTGTATGCTCTTGGATGTGGGTCTGCACCCATGGCACTGCCATCCGCACTGAGGTGTGACTGGAGAAGCCTTTGCTTCCCAGACCATGTTAGCATGGACTTGGGGGACAAGGAGGCTCAAGGAGTGGCAAGGCCACTGGCCCAGGAGGAATGCGTTGGCATCTCACAGTGCAGGCCCAGGAGAGGGCCTGCAACTCCAAGGCTCAGTGGGAAGGAAAGCCAGTGCTTCAACTCCTGCCAGCTGGCCCCCATTTTTGAGGGAACCACTCCATAAATCTGGGTGGATGAGATGTTCCTGCCTTTAAGATGGTGCCCCTCTGGAAATAGCCTGGGGTCTTCTCTTCTTTGTGTAGCAAGGATCTAGGTTCCCTTGATGGACAGGGCATGAAGGACAGCCTTGCTCATCCTGCAGCTTGGACCCCTTTAGAGACAATGACAGAGGAATCAGGAGAGGCAGCCATGCCTGGACCTACATCTGAGCAGCCTTTGGGGGTCCAGGCACAGTGCCAGATTGGTGGAGATTCAGATCTTTTCTCAGCCAAAACCCCTTTCCAGCTCAGACCAGTCCCCAGCCCTGTGAGCCCTGGGCCTCTGCAATCCTCTGGCCATGTATCACTCTGAGCAGGCTGCTGGCTGAGGTCTTAAACCTTCGGGAAAAACTAGGGCCAGAGAGGTGGTTCTGGAGAGTTCAGTGAATGAGCAGAGTACCTAGCTCTAGGGTGTGTGTGCATGTGTGTGTACGTGCATGTGTGCGTGTGTGTAGGGGGATGCATGTGCCTGGTGGGACATCTCTGGGCTAGCTATTCGTGACGTAACTTGGCCTCTGTGTGTGTGTGTCTTGATCAGGATATTCCTGTTTTGCGGTTGCCTGATCACTTGTTTTTGGCCGTGGACTTCTGTATGAGTGTTTATTTTTAGAGGCTGCCACTTCTGGCCTAAGGGCTGATCCTTCAGCATGGCAAGAACATTTGTATTTTCTGAAATGTTTATGGCTTCAAGTTTAAGTATTTATTTGGGGGTATTTCTGCCTTTCATGTGTTCATTCAACTTTGTGTGTATGTGATATGAGAGAAGTATAGAGTAATAAAAGTGGCATAGTTTTTGAAGTCAATTTGTTCTGATTTTAAATCCCAGCTTTACCAGGCACTGTGTTTGCGGGTAAATAGTGTCTCTCTCAGGGCTTCAATTTTCTTACCTTTATAGTAGGTGTAACTTTGTCCCACTCACAGCGTTAGAAATCATGCCTGTGGAAGGTGCCCCACCAAGCGTGTGGCAGGCAGGAGGTCTCCTTGTGTGTTACTGTTATCATCACTACTTGCACGCACACACCCACATCGTGCTTTCTGACTGTGGTTGTTGGCACAGTGTAGGCACTTAGCGAGTGCTTAAGTCTGGGTGTTTCAGTTTTGGGTGACTTCTGGTTGGCGTGCGTGTCTGACCGTCTTTGTGTCTGGCTCTGCGTGTGACTGCTGGTGTCTGGCCTGGAGCTGGTGCAGACTTTGGGAGGGGGCTCTTGTCCTTGCCAGTAGAGGGCCTGGATTGGAGTGAAGGGAGGTGTGCGTGCGTGCGTGTGTGTGTGTGTGTGTGTGCGCGTGCTTGTGTGCGTGTGTTGGGACTGGAGGCTGGGCTGCTGACTGTACAGGGTGTGAGGTCACTGAGTTCCTCTGGGTGGGGGAAGTTCTTCACTCCTGAGTCAGCCCTTTGGCCCTGAGCCACCCAGCGCTCACTTTTTCCTTTCAGAGAAAGTATAGCTCAAGGGGGTCCCCAGAGCTGTCTGTGGACAAAAGGATACCTCTCCTCGTGTGGACTTCTTGCCTTTTTGTTCTTGGTCCCTAAGATGCTTCCTCACTGCCCAGGCCCCTGAACCCCCTACATCAGCACCCCCTGTATCAGGGCCCCTTCAGTGTAGTGCCTGTTGGCTTCACTGAACCCTGCTGTGGCCCAGCACTTCCAGGGTCCTCGGGCTGGCTCAGAGCAGCAGGGCTCTGGATGCTCCCTTCTGTAGGCCTGCTGCCATCCCACCTGACTTACCTTCCCCTGACCAGGGCACCTTCACTGGAGTCTTGGGTGGTATAATCGGGGCTCATGAATAGTGGATGGTGCTGGGGGAAAAACGGGAGTGGCCTCTAGAAATGTGGTGGTGGGTGGGATGAATGGCACTGTATGTCTGAATTCATTGTGTTGAACTAGACTCAGCGCTGGATATGTGAGGGCAAGTTTGTCTTAGAGTGTCCTAGCCCTGCCTCTGCCCCCGCCCCCCACCTACCTTGGGCTTGGTGGATCCCTCATGGCACCCCTAATCCCCTCCAGGCTCTCTCCGCAGTTCCCTGAGTAGAGGCTGTTCCCAGGGAGGATGGGTCTCCATGCCTGTACCTCTCTGTGCACTCAGAGCTATGGCCACCTCTCCTGGAGCTCTGCCTTAAATAAGGAATCAGAGCAGGAATGAAACTTTCTGAAATGGAATAGTGGATGGGACCCATGATGCTTTGGAAATAATCATTCAGGAATTCACTGTACTCACCATGGAGATGGTATGACTCCTAGCTGTTGACCTGTCACCATGTGTCAGGCACTGGTCTTTTTTTTTTCCTCTGTTTTATTTTTTATTTATTTTTTTATCTTTTAAGTCATAGCTGTGTACATTAATGCAATCATGGGGTACTATGTGCTTGTCTTAGCACACATGTGTCAGCTCATTTGAACTCAAAGCAGTGTGTATTTAATGAATACTGGCAATTATACATAGTTCAACAAGATTCTGTTATTTTCCCCATTTTACAGATGAGGAAGTTGAGGCCCAGGAAGTAATTCATGCCTCTAGGGTCTGGTAGGGAGATGCTGGAGCTAGTCTTGGATAGCTCAGTGTTAAGCTCCACTGCCTGGCTCTAAAGTTTGGGTGTGGGTGAAGGTCCTTTTATCCTTTTCCCCTTCCTTCCCCTCTGGGTGGTGAGAGGAGGTTTTAGGATCCAGAGAATGGGAGCTCTCAGTTCTTTCCCCCTGAGCATAGATGATGTCCCTCCTTCCCACTGATGTCTGCTGTCTCTGTCTCCCTTTGGCTCTTTCCTTGCAGAGGTGGTAGGACATACCCAGGGGCCACTAGATGGAAGCCTGTATGCCAAGGTGAAGAAGAAGGACTCCCTGCACGGCAGCACTGGGGCTGTCAATGCCACACGTCCTGTGCTGTCGGCCACCCCCAACCATGTGGAGCACACACTCTCTGTGAGCAGCGACTCCGGTAACTCCACGGCCTCCACCAAGACAGACAAGACCGATGAGCCTGTTGCCGGGGCCCCCAGCATTCCTACTGCCCTGAGTCCGGAGGAGAAGCAGGAGTTGGATCGCCTGCTCAGTGGCTTTGGCTTAGAACGAGAGAAGCAAGGCGCCATGTATCATACCCAGCACCTCAGGTCCCGCCCAGCTGGGGGCCAGGTTGTGCCCTCCTCTGGCCGCCATGTTGTCCCAGCCCAGGTTCATGTCAATGGTAGGGCCTTGGTGTCTGAGCGAGAGACAGACATCCTGGACGATGAGCTGCCCAACCAGGATGGGCACAGTGTGGGCAGCATGGGCACACTGTCCTCCCTGGACGGGGTCACCAACACCAGTGAGGCAGGCTACCCAGAGGCCCTATCCCCACTCACCAATGGCCTGGACAAGCCCTATCCCATGGAGTCTATGGTCAATGGTGGGGGCTACCCCTATGAACCTGCCAGATGTGCAGTGCCTGCCCATGCTGGCCACATGGCCCCCATGCGACCCTCCTACTCTGCACAGGAAGGTTTAGCTGGCTACCAGCGGGAGGGGCCCCACCCAGCCTGGCCTCAGCCAACGACCACCTCCCAGTGTGGTCATGACCCCAGCAGTATGTTCCGCTCTCAGTCCTTTTCGGAAGCTGAGCCCCAGCTGCCTCCAGCTCCAGCCCGTGGCGGAAGCAGCCGGGAGGCCGTGCAGAGGGGGCTGAATTCATGGCAGCAGCAGCAACAGCAACAGCAACAGCAGCAGCAACAGCCTCACCCACCTCCTCGGCAGCAGGAAAGAGCCCATTTGGAGAGTCTAGTGACCAGCAGGCCTGGCCCCCAGCTATTGGCAGAGGCCCCCAGCCCTGGGCTCCCAGAGTTCCCAAGGGCAGCCTCTCGGCAGGAGATTGAGCAGTCCATTGAAGCACTCAACATGCTGATGCTGGACCTAGAGCCAACAGCGGCCGCTGTCCCCCTGCACAAGTCCCAGAGTGTTCCAGGGGCCTGGCCAGGGGCTTCCCCACTCTCTTCCCAGCCCCTCTCTGGTTCCTCTCGCCAGTCCCATCCAATGACCCAATCCAGATCTGGCTACATCCCTAGTGGACATTCCTTGGGAACCCCTGAGCCGGCCCTGCAGGCCTCTCTGGAGTCCATCCCTCCGGGCAGGTCTTACTCACCGTACGATTACCAGCCATGTCCAGTAGGGCCCAGCCAGGGTTTCTGTCCAAAAAGCTCAGTCTCCTCCTCCTTGCCCACCTTCCTTCCAACCTCCCACAGCCCTCCAGGGCCTCAGCAATCCCCCGTCTCCCTCCCTGGCCTCCCTGTTCAGCCACAGCTCCCACCAAAGGAAACGACTTCAGACCCATCCAGAACTCCAGAGGAGGAGCCATTGAATCTGGAAGGGCTGGTGGCCCACAGGGTAGCAGGTAAGAGTCTCAGGGACCTTCAGTCCTATGGATTACCTCCTGATGCCCCCCTTGTTTTGTCTTGCTGAGGGGAGGTGGAGGCACCACTATGACCCCTAAGCAGGTGTTGCTTTGGGCTGGAGCAGAGGCTTTCAGGAGCCTGTGGCTAGCCATCAATTCCTTCCTGCATTCATTGTCTATTATGGCACCAAGCCAGATACTGAAATTCAAAGAACAGTGTCTATCAGTTTCTGCCTTCAAGGAGTTTACAGTCTAGTGAGGGGATAGGTACACAGGCAGATCGTTCTAACAGAGTGCAATACATGCTATGACAGAGTAGGACCCAAGAACTCAGAGCCTGGGAAGCAAAGCTTATCACCTAGATAATCAGGAAAGCTTCCTGGAGGTGGTGACTTTGGAATTGGGGTATACTTTTCTAGACAAATAGGAGACTCTGTGATTGCTGTGCTCTCTGTCTTTAGACTTCCATTTCTTTGGGGGAGGCATGGAGAAGGCGGGAGGGAGGCTTTTGTCAATTCAAATTCCCTCTCAGGCCCTCAAGAGGCCATAATGAAGCCCAAGGGAGTGATACCCTGAAGGTCTTGGGCTCTATTCGGGGGTTTGACCTGTTGGGACCTTTTGGGATATTCTCTTTGAGGGAAGGCCAAGGTCCTTGGTCAGCTTTCTTGTTAGTCCTTGCTTAGAACTCTGCATGGGAAGCAGGCACAAAGAGATAGAGTTCCTTTTCCTATCAGAATGGACTTATCTTTAGAGAGAGGAGGAAGAATGGGACAACAAGAAGAGCTTATTGAGAAGGATAGCTGCGGGGCTCCCTTCCTTTCCACTGGCCTAAGCCTTTGAGCATTCCATAGATTCAGGCAAACTGGGCAGGAAATCCTGTGGGTTGATTTTATGTTGGAAGTGAAGCTCAGAGACGATGGGGTTAGGTGAGCCCAGCCACTCAACTGACAGGGTGGTGGGGGCTCAGGAGGGAGAAGAGGAGCCTGAGCAGCTGATTCTGTCTTCCACTCCTTTTCCTAAATTTAGGGGAAGCTGAGTCACCATCCCAGCTGCAGGGAGTTGGGGAGACGCCCTCCCTGGGGATGGGCTGTGGGTTTGGGGAAGCAGCTAGGGGCAGGCCAGCTGACTCAGGAGCTGGGTGTGGGGGCATAGATGCCCTGCTCCTGTGCTTCAGAGAAGAGTGAATCCCCAGTTCCACCACTAGTAATTGATATTGGCCATAGTGGAAGTATTTACTCCATGGAAATTGGTCACCAGGGCTTTGCTGCCTGGGACAGCTAGTCTAGCAGCACATCATTGCCTTTACCTGGGCATCAAAACATAGGATGAGTAGCTCTGTAACCCTAGGGGTGAAATGCACCCTGGGATGGTCCATGTGGGCCTTCAATTTCAGCTTACTCCCACAACTAGTCCCCTGAAATAAGGGCACCGCCTGGTTGCTCTGTCAGCAGAGACCCTTCTCCTTTTGATTTCATTGAAGGAAGAGGAATGGGGCTACCCCAGTTTCCTGGGAACTTAATACTTTTCCCAATATTTTACAGAGTTGGGGTGGTGGGCTGAAAATTAGTGACACTCTATTCTAACAGTGGGCAGCATCTAGCAGACTTCTCTCTTGGGGAAGAGAATGAATTTTCCCTCCCTGTTAGAGTTCTCCTATATAGCTGTCCTGGACCTTACTCAAGAGGAACCCATAGTCCTAAGGACCCTGAGAGGATGCCCATCTTGTATGGACCTCCCCTTAGCCTTTTCTCTTCTACCAGCTTCTGAGGTCTTACTATCAACTTCTGTGTCCTGTAGCCTCTCAGGCTTTGGTTGTAGGGAAGAATATTGTTAGTACTGTTTCTGCATTCCCTAACCCTGTTTCCTTCTACATCACCACCTGTGAGTGCCTCAGTCAGGAGAAAGGACAAGGTAGCATAGAGGGAGAAGTTATATTTGGCAACCAGGTTGGTTCAGGCTCTATCATGAACAGAATTTCTTATGTCAGTACATCCTGCTTACATGTCTCCTTAGTAGCTCTTCAGGGTGTCTGCAGTGCTTCTGTAGAGAAAAGCACGCAGGCAGGATTAATGTGTAGAACAGCCTGGGACCCAGAGAGGATAGACAGCTGGTATCACCTCTTTCTGCTCATTTTGCGTTCTGCCACCAGAAACTGGAACATAAGCTTCAACATGAGTAAACTGGGAAGCTCATATCTGAGGGAGAACTTCTCCTTGTCCATGAAATTGATTGGGTTTCTCCTGGCTTTTCTCCCTTCGATATGCCCTTTCCTCCTTGTATTCTGTATACCTCAGTATCATGCCCCTGGTTCATTTCATTTTTATCCAATCACCACTTCAGAATAACTCTTAGAGAATGTGCCCTTAACTTGATAAAGGGTAGGCGCCAGAAACCTATAGCACACATCATACTTTCTTGTGAAACATTACAAGCATTCCTGTTACAGCCAGGGACAAAATAAGGAAGTCTCTTACCAGCACTATCTTTTAACATTGTATTGGATATCCTAGACAATGCAATAAGATAAGAAAAAGAAACAAGAGTCAGAGCTGAGGTGTCTAATCAAGTTATCTTATGCTCCTGATTCTGTGACTGGACCCATCTCAGATGTCTCTAGAGATGGAGATTTCAGTGCATGTTGGAAATCAGATATGGATCTTGTCCTTAAGGAGTCTGGAATTTAGTAGGGGAAGAAAGAACTGGAATATTAACATGAAGTCATTTGTTATAAGAGAGGTGTGGAGAATGTGTTCTGTGGGAGAGAAGTGGAGACATCACTACGAGCTAGAGAGATTTGGGAGGCTGGGTTGAGTGTAGGTTTTAAACCAAGCCTTGAAAGGTAGATAGGAGTTTGAATGTGGATGGGGTCACCAGGCAGAGGAAGGTTCATAGTAAAGACAAGAAACATAGGAAATGCTTGAAATTGCTTTGACAGGGGGATGTGAGAATGAAAATTAAAAAAAAGTGGGGGGGGAATGTTTGAAGGATAATGAGTAGATTGAGAATATGTAGGTTGTGTAAGGGAGAGTCAGATCTTACCTACCAGACCAAAGAGCTTAAATTTTACTTAGTAGGAATGCAGGAAGATCTTACTGTGGATTAGTGAAGGGAATGTGCCATGATCAGAGATGCATTTTAAGAAGATGTATGTGGTGGGCCTGACTGATCAGGAAGGTTGCTAAGTGGGAGAGACTTAGAGCCAAGAGATGCCAGGAGCTTACTAGATAGGGTAAGTGGTGGAGGCTGGATTAGGGCACTGACCATGGGTCAGTGGTACTATGAGAGTAGATCAGTGTGCTTGTGCATTGACTGGTTATAGCAGATGAGGGAGAGGAAGACATGAAAAAGGAATAGAACCAAACAGAGTGGTGCTTCTGGTAATGGCAGGGAGTTGAAGGATGGTTTGGTGAAAACCAAATGGCTGGTTTGGTGAAAAGATGAAGCGCAGTGTTAGATGTGTTGAGTTTGTGGTGGCAGTGAGCCTCCAGGTAGAGGTGAAGGGGAAAGTGGCTGAACATCTAGAACTGGAATTTTAAAAAGTTCAAAGGGCTATAGATTTGGGGATCATTCTCACAAAGGTGTGTGGTTAAGATCTCAATGTCAGAGGGCATGGAGAGAAAAGAACTGAGGCTGGAATGGCCATGAGAGAAAAAGGAGGCTGCAAAGGGGCCTAAGAGTAAATGGTCAGGTGACTAATGGTCAGGGGACTAAGAGTAAATGGTAACCAGGATTGCAGGAAGGACAATCAGGTGGTGACAGGACAGTGTGTCTTCGCAGAAGTCAAGACAGTAAAGGGGTTAAAGGGAGAAGGGCGGGGGTTAGCAGTGTCAGTGTCAGTCTGGAGAGAGCATGGGAGGGAGAACTGAGGAAAATACATGGGCTTGCCAGTTAGGTGGCTCCTTTGAAAATCATCAAAGGCATATTTTCAGTGTGTGGTGGTGAAAGAAACCAGACTGTGAGGGATTGAGGATGAGTGGACAGGGAGTGCCGACAGCAAACTAGATATTCTTTTGAGTGGTTTTGTGATAAAAGGGGTGAGAATGGTAGTTACAGAGGGTAACAAGGACTGGGAACTTTTTTTGGTAAATCTAGTAGTCATGAGAACGTTTTTAGGTAGAGGAGAAGGGGGGTGTTGAATGTTGAGTAAGGAAGGAGAAGAAAAAGATAGAAGAGAAAGAAAGAAATTGGTAAAGGGTAGGTACCAGAAACCTTTAGCATACTCACGTTTGCTCATGAAACATTGGGAGGATTCCTGTTACAGCCAGGAACAAGACACGGGCAAGAATAAGGTCTCTAAGGAAATAGGAGGATGTGGGGTTTGGAGCCCAGGGTTATAATTTAGGCTCAACCAGGAGGTGAGATACTTCTTCATGAAATAAAAATAAAGGATTGACATAGATATAAGGAAATATTGGTGTCAAGCTTTGGGAGCTTGAATTGAGCTTTAGATTTTGTTATGGGAATAGGAGGTGAGTTCTGGGCTCATTCAATCATTCGTTTAAGAATAGCTTCTAATCTGTGCTATTTGCTAGTCTATATTTTAGAAAAATGGTGGCAAACAAAACAGGAAAAATATCTTGCCTTTATGGCACAGATGGACACTAAATAAATACCTACATGATATGAAAGGAAGGTGATAAATGCCATGGAGATGAAGCAGTGAGGGGTGGGGTGGGTGACTGTACTTGACATAGGATGGTCAGGAAAGGCTTCACTGGGCAGTAAGAGAATGTGCCATATGGAGCAGTAAGTACAAAGGCCCTGAGGAGGAGTGTGCCGGCATGGCAGGAGCAGAGTGATGGAGGGGAGCACAGTGGGACGTGGAAGGGGGGCAGCTTGCAGAAGGTCATTGGTTTTAGCCTGTATGGCATGAGAAGCCTTAAGAAGGATTTGGGCCCAAGAGTGACATCATCTAACTTGTTCTAAAAGGACCAGGGTAACCAGGATTGCAGGAAGGAGACCCTGTGAGGAGGCTGCTGCTATTGATCTGGGTAGTGGCG